CGGGTTTAGGGTTTAGGGTTTAGGGTTTAAGTTTTGGGTTCAGGGTTCAGGGGTTCAGGGATCAGGGTTCAGGGATTAGGGTTTAGGGTTGAGGGTTTAGGGTTTAGGGTTTAAGTTTTGGGTTTAGCGTTTAGGGTTTAGGGAAGGCCTTGTTATTCTCTAGCGGACCCTCAGCCGCTGTGGCTGCCCTCGCTTTCTTGGCCTCCGAAGACTTCAGCACAGACGGCCCAGGCCTTAAGCCGAATGCGAGCCTCAAGCGCTGAACCCCAAGCCCCAGCCCCTACCCCTAAATTCCTGAACCCCAAACCCTAAACGCTAAACCCGAGGCAGGCTCGCTCGCACAGAAAAGGCCACTGCACTTAAAAAGAAACACGCTAAGCCCCAAAAGCCCGTAACCCTAAACCTGAACCCTAAACCCCTAAACCTGAACCCTGAACCCCAAAACCCCTAACCCCAAACCCCAAAAACCCCTAAACCCCAAAACCCCTAACCCCAAACCCTGAACCCTGCAGGTGGGCCTCCTGAGCCCTAACCGCCGGCATCACCCATCCTCGACCCCATGCGTTTAGGGTTCTTCCACACCCTTCCTCAGAATCACCAGGCCATGGGATCTATATAGGGTTTCAGGATGTTGGCTCCAGTTTTTTGGGGTTCTGGCGTTTTGGAACCCGACGTCCGTGAGAGCACACAAGTTCCCCCAAGCCGGGCGAGGTTCCAAAAAGGAGGCGGTGGGGGAAGTAGCGGCGGAGGTGGAGGCGGCAAGGCTCGGCGCTCAGACACGGGAGGTTTCCAGAAATCGGGATGCCTTTTCCAGGGGGTGCCGTTTCTCCTCTCAAGACTCTTGTTACATTTCTGTACCATGGATTTCTATCCCTTAGCATCAACATAGCCCGAAAGCCTTATACAATAGGGTCTTTGGACCCAAGAGCCTTAAACTATGAGTCTTTTGAGCCAAACTCTCATCTCCAGACCTCCCAACGGCTGGAAAATGAGGGGGGGAAGGGTTGGATAGTCTTTGCCTTTTACGTCCAGGTCTCCTGGAGTGTAGGGTGTTGCCAGAGTGGAAGTTTTGGGTTTGTGGTTCAAAAATCTGATCGTTTCGGGTCCACGTGTTGCGTCGGGAGTTGCTTTTTGGGGCGTTTGGGGTTTAGGGATCCCATCCTACTGCTCGGTGTATATGACGTTTTGCAGTTTTGCCCGGTCGCGAAAACCCTGTGATATGAAGTGGTGGCCAGCCAATTGAACCCCTACAGAGATGAAGAAGATGAGGGTGTTAAACCCTAAACCCTTAACCCCCAATCCCTAAATCCTACACCCCGATGATGATGTTGTTGTTGATGATGGTCATAATCATGATGGTTATTGCGATGACGATGAGGATGAAGGAGAAGATGATGATGTTGATGTTGTTGGTCATGGTGATGGTGATGGTGATGGTGATGATGATGATGATGATGATGATGATGATGACGATGTGCAACACGGCCCAGGCGCATAGCCACAACGACCACTACGACAACTGGGACTACCGTTGGCAGCAGCCGGAGCCCTGCGGCTTCTATTGAATTCTATTGGTTTAGCTGGGATTTGTTAGGAGGAGCCGCCGAGCCCTAAAACCCTAAACCCTAACCCTGAAGCCTGATACTTTAATACCCTGATGACCTAATATCCTAATACCCTGATAATAAACCCTAAACCTGTTGGTTCCCCATTCTCCAACCCAGGGCTCTGGCGGAGTGACGTGAAGAGCAAAGTGGCTGCCATTCCCTAAACCCTCAACCCTAAACCCTAAACCCTAAACGTGTAGAGGTGCTTCAGAGGGCCGGAGTTGGGGGCTCAAGAAGCCCAAAGTGCCCCAAAGCTTCAGTCCTGAAAAGCCAAACATAATCACAAAGCACTACTTGGGGGTACTTAACCCTTAACCTAAACCCTAAACCCTAAACCCTAAACCCTAACCCGCATGAACCTCGCGTTTCATAAGCCCACGGCTGCCGTTTGAGGTCTCACCACCGGGATCCGCCTCGACCTTCAGGCTCGGTTTCGGGCTGCAGATTTGCCGGTTTTTTGGGTTTTTGGTTTAGGGTTTAGGGTTTAGGGGGTTTTTGGTTCAGACGGTTAGGACCGGCTAGGGTTGCGAGTTTCGAGTATTGGGGCATTTTGGGCTTAGGGCTTTGGGTTTGATGTTTGGAGTCTCAACATCTAGAGTGTAGAGCACTGTTTGGGTATTGAGGGGCTTGCCGGTGTTTCGTTGGTTCATAGCTCGGGTCTTTCGGATGCACCTTTGCGGGGTTTTAGAGCTTAGGGTTCCGGGGTTTGAGACTTCAGGGTTTCTAGGGTTTTATTTCAGGGTTGACGGGCTTTTGGGGTTTAGGGTTTTAGGGTTTTAGGGTTTAGGGTTTAGGGTTTAGGGCTTTAGGGCTTCAGGGGACGCGATTGAAAGGATCTGTGAGGGTGCTCAGTGTAAGATCTTCACCCCGGGTCTCTCAATCGTCCGAACTTCCGAACTCCTGAAGCTCAAGAAGCCTGAACCGTAAGCCCTAAGCCCCAAAATATAAACCCTATTTGCAGGGATTACACAGGGGTCTCCTCTCTTGAGGAACCTTTTTAAACATGTAGGTCTATTGGGTCGGGGTATAGTACATTGCAGTTTCACAATAAGCATCTTCCTGTGGTCAGAGTATTCTCTCCTCTTCAGTGGAGAACCCGGACAAAACAAACGAGCTATCGGAAACCGCACCGCAGCAAAGGACCCGCTTGATGGCGTCTTGAGCGTCAGCCCTGCAGTAAAGCCAGGTTGTCTAAACTCCAAAACCTGCGGTCATTGACCCGCCATAAGCCCTGAACCCTAAGCCGTAAACCCTCAGACCTAAACCCCAAACCCTAGTTTTGCAGGCATCTATCGAGGCCCGAAGCCCGAAGTTGCTGGAACCGTGCAAACCGAGACGCCCCAAAAAGACCCACAAAACGAGAAGTCGGCTAAATCCTGTTTAGGGTTTAGGGCCCCTAAAGCCCTAAACCCTGAACCTCTGCCAGGAGGTCCAGGCAAGGGCAAGGCCATGCGGCCCATGCAAGGGTTAAACTTTGAATCCCACTACGTCAGGGGATTTGAAGGGTTTAGAGGTGGTCCTCGAGCCTTTGTGACTTCTGCTCGGGGCTCTGACAGGATGTTGTTTTGTGATGGCATAGGGTTTGGAGGGTCTGGCGAGTTTCGAAACAAGGAAGCCGAAACATCGCGTTCTTTTGCTAAAAAGCCACGAACACCAAACCCTGAGCCCTACACATCCCCCGACCCTGAAGCCCGAAACCCGAAGCCCTGAATCCTAAACCCCATAGCACACCCTGAACCCTAATACCGAAACCCGGAAACCTGAAACCGTCAATCCTTGAGGGCCTGGGGCGGGATGCTTGTGTGCAGTCGGTAGACGCCGCTCGCACATTGCCCGCTTTGAGCATCTTTTGGCATGCTTGGGCGCTTGTCACGCGGTGACGCATCCCATGTTCCTTTTGTGTTCGTTTTGCTGAGGGAGCTGCGTGCCGCTGCCTGCACCCGTACGTACAGCTACTTCTTTCTGCTGCTTCCACAAGTGTTGTAGCTAACGTTCCCCTGGTTTGCCTTACTGGTCATCTGTGATCAGCTGTGCCTCAACCCTAAGTAAGCCTGCGGAGGCTTTGAAACGTTGAGGGTTCAGGATTTGAACACCCCATGAATCTAAACGTAAGAGAACAGGTTGCCGTCCGGTTGCCGTTCAGGGTTATGGTTTAGGGCTTAGGGTTAGGCCATGAATGTAAGCGTCCAGGTTGCTCTGCTTTGATTGTTGGAATAGGGTTCTCTGGAGATATTCTAGTATAGTCAAGTAAGAAGCATACGTCAATTCTGTTGCCAGTTGCTCCGACCCTTCTACTGGATTGTTTTGGCAGCTGCCTGTACATGTGAAGTTTTCGAAACCAGGGTCCCTGTTTAGGTCAATGTAGTACAGCACCATTATGAAACCTATTTTAGAGAACTACCTGCATGTGAGTCTGCAGTTGGTGTGTCGTCGGATTCGACTATTCAAGCCTTTTCGGACGCTGGAGCCAGGATATGCGACCGCCGGTGCGGTCGAACCGGTGGGATGTGCTTTGGATGGCATTAAGACTTCGTCTTGGGATTCAGCTTCCGACGGCCCGCCTCTGACCAATGTATGCCAGCCCGGCTCAGAGACTGGTCTACATGCAACAGCTGTAGACAGTTGACGCCTCGTTGTTTGTGCTGATGACGCAGACCCAGTTCTCCCTCGAGAGGGGGTTTTCATTTTTGGTGTTTACTACGAGGCTGGTGCTTAGATTTCACTTTGGATCCGGATGTCGTGGAATCCAGGAGCATGTGGGTTGCTTCCGTCACTTGTGACTCAATAACCGAGCTAGATACATATCAGCCCCCGAGATCCCCCTTAGTGTAATGCAGCTTGGGATGAGCATGCCCCTGTGCTTCAAATTGGAGCTGCTGCCTGGAATGCACACTGCCAAGCCGGACCAGTGGCGCCGTCTATTCCTGGCAGCCTCTGTCATGTCCGATGTACACTTACACAGCGCAGCCTGCCCAGACCTAGACCTAGACCTATCCGAGATCGAGTCTCAGGCATTATTCGACCGTCGAGGAGATGGAACAAACAGCTAGAGATGCAAAGGAGGCTTGGGTAAAGTCTCCTTTGCATCTTCTAGCTGTTTGTTGATCTCCTCGAGGGTCGAAGACGGCCTCGGTACATTTGACTGCGCCATTACCTTCTCGCAAAGGAGATGTTGCCACAGTTTCTGGACTCAAAGACGCTGTGCATCTAGACGATCTCAAAGTCTCTGTCATTGAGTTGGTTTAGGGTTTAGGGTTTAGGGTTTAGGTCTCGCGCAGATGCCGTGTGCGATTTGCTGACGGTGACATCCACGCCCTTCGCCCCAGAAACCTTCGCCTTCGTCCCTACCAAGCAGATGACCGACAGGATAGCGTTTAGGGTTTAGGGTTTAGGGTTTAGGGTTCTGGTCAGATTCGCAAAGTCTATCCTCGCTAGAGCCGGAAAAGAAGATCCCGCAGTTTAGACTCAGCTCTTGGACCTGATGTCGCGGAAGGGGGGCACAGAGCCACTGGACCGTCTACGGCTTGGGGTTGAACTTACTTATCCCAGCCAATCGCGGACCATGTTTCGGATCACATCGTAGAGGAGACTTGCGCCTCAGTTCCCTGAACCCTAAACCCTAAAGCC